TAGTTTCTGACTATAAATAAAATATTCAAAGTATATTTGCTCGTATATCTTTTATTTACGTCGACAGTATTTGTTTTGATACACGTATTTTCCTTTATGCAACATACCTCAAATGTGTTTCCAGAAGCAAAATTCCTATTCTAAATATGTGTCCCTTTGGAAATTACTAAAAATATTCAGGTATACGGGGCATCGTTTTTTTTAAAGGAGGTGGTGATGGGTGTCATCTATAAAAATGAGATGACGATCAAAAAAAAAAAAAAAATGTCATACACTTTGACAAGAAAGAAGAAAAGGGGAATTGATACATGTATGTTTCAAAAAATTCATAATCATTCAATTGTCAATAACGAGTAAAATCTGTAGATCTATGGTAATTACCGCAGTCTTATGTATTAATTGTTCTTGTCAAGTTTTATTGACCAATACAACCCTCGTTACAAAAGACTTTACACTGATTAACATTTAAACACAATATACATGGCCGTAGGAAGTTAGGAACCGGGGGAGCATGTCCCCCCAATATATAGATTACTATAGAAAACCTAGCTACCATATGTTTGTGCCCCCTTAATAAAAACGCCTGATGACTTTTTTTGCTCTTCAAGGAAATTTTGGTGGTTGATAGTGGCCCCCAACTGAAAATGTATGGCTGTGCCCCCCCCCCCCCCCAACTGAAATTGCTTCCTACGGGCCTGATATACATAGGATGGTTTAATTTTCAGGCACGTAGTATTCGAAAGGGGGCATTTTTCTTAGAAGAGTCTTTCATTCGAAATCCTAGTTTTTATTCATTTGTTTATTTATTTATTTTTTTTTTTTGGCAGTATGATTGAGGCATTTCAGTAAAATAAAAAAAAATGTTAGAGTTAACGATGGGTCCATGGATTTTTTTTCAAAGGGGGTTGGAAGATGTTGGGGAACTATATCCACTCCAAAAAAATCCGACTTAATTTTTTTGACAAGGGAAAAACTGTTTCAACGCAAAAAACCTAATCGGGAGGGGGGGGGGGTTGTTGGACACTTCTCTATGGCAAGTAGTCTCTATATACACGTTTCTTCTGACCAAATGCAGATCCTTTGGGGTGGGGTGGGAATGGGGGAGGGGTAGCAAGTTAATTTTTTTTTTCTTACTTTACATTTAATTACTCTGAATTCGTAACTCCCAGTGGATCCACAACCGAGATTGGTTGTTTCTCACCACACAGTGATAAGGAATGTGGTAGGGTTTACTTTGCTTGACATTAAATCATAAGTGCATTACATATGCATGCAATTTTATCAGCATTGATTTGAAGTATGGGATTTACTTAAAGCTACAATTCATGACTATATGATTAACTAGGCACCGTGAGAGATTCTGTGTTTGTCAACTTAAATGTATAGTCAGTGGAATGTAGAATATGTACAAGACAACCCCTGAAATATGTTCCTGAATACATGTCTGCAAGTTATTTACAGCTATTTTTGCTGCAACGTAATGGAAGTTAGTGTGTGTGTTTGTGTTTTATATTACACCTCCCCATCCCACCTTACATCTGCCACTGTTTACCGCAGAAATATTCCCTATTACAGGAACAGTAGAGATTGTTTTATCCTCTTCTATTATTCTGCCTGTGGTAGGGCCTTGTTCATGTAAAATCGATCTTGCGCCGAGTAAGTAAAATGTTCTTGTCTGTACATGTATTTCAATTACTATCTTGACATGTATATTTATAAGCTTTGGTTTACGTACGCAGCACTGCTCTATTTGTACACATAAAAATCATAACGTGAAAATGAAATAGAAAGTAGTGAATGTTATAGTAACATATAAGAAAGCATATTAAATTAATTATATTTATAGATCTATCGGTAATGATATGTTTTGAGAAAAAAGGAAACATCACTTATCTCTACAACCCGGCACGAATCACCAGTTAATTTTTTTTTTAAATAAATACACAATCTGTGAGGTTGAGTTGCGGCCGAATCTCCCTCACGCGTTAGCAATATAGATAAGAATTTATCTAAATGTCACATGTACCCTCTTTGTATAAAATCATTCAAAATGAGTATAAGCACAAATTTCTGTCTTTATTAATTTCTTGCATTAAAGACATATTTTGAACAACATTTCAGATAATACTTCTTATATACTCTGTTTATTCTTAGGTGGGGAATTGACTGGTACATGTATACATGTATATAAAATGAACATCTTTATCTGCTTTTTAATATAATCATAAATTGATTATGTTGTTGATATGATAAATGTCTATTCCCAATCTTTTAACTTCAAGTCCTGTGTTCATATATCGGTACATTATAATCCGATAGTCATTTCTATCGCCTTTTGACGTGACGTTATATTACAAAAAATGACGTTCCTATTGCATTTTTCCATCAAAACACTGTCATACTGCAAGATCTCCTTTTAAAAAAGTATAAAAGATATCGAAAAAAAAAAAACGGTTACGAAAAGCAAAAAGTTAATTTTTGGAATGAGGCCATTTTTGATGGTTCGTGGATTTTGCTCTTTGCCTCAGGCTAGTTGGCTAATGTTCTGCTATAATAATTTTTCTGGAAATTTAAGTTTCCTATTGCTGGTTGCGCAATCATTTCATTCATCATATTATCCAATCAAAATAAAAGGATAAACACTGTTGGAAGAATTTGGTGTTTTTATTTATCAATATTGATGACAAATTTACTAATATAAAAAATAATGCTTAGTAGTACAAGTGACTAACTGACATACCTTCTCTGGAAAAAAAGTTTAATGCTCATTTATTTCCAGTCTCTATTTTACAGATCAAAATATATTTTTTAAATTACCTTCTTTTCATTTTAATCTCAAAATTTGATTAACATATATGATAGGTCTTTCTAAAGTTAGTTTATTTTTGTAGAACCGAAAACAGTAGCTCAAAAAGTAACACCCCCCCCCCCCAACATTTGAGAACGTAATTGAAGTGTTTGTAACTATTTCCTTTTAATCTATTCGTTTTTGGAAAACGCGTCAATTTTTAAGATTTTTGCTGGATCAGGCGGAAACACTTTCGGACTCCTTCCCTTGGAAGATGTTTTAGCCTGTAATTTTTTTTATATTTTTGACTTCCACTCAAGAGCCAATTTCAACAGAACTTTCCATATATATATATATATATATATATATATATATAGATATAGATATAGATATAGGCGCGGATCCAGGAATTTTTTCCAAGGGGGGGGGGGGTCCATACCAGTCAAAAACAGTAGAAAAATCCATTTTCAAAAAGTGAAAAATACATTTTTCGTGGTGGTGATGTTGGGGTCCACGTTTTCTAGGGGCGGGGGGGGGGGTGTTCCAAAGTCATTTTTTATTTGCGTCAGTATATACTATTTATAACTCTGCAAATTAGTAGAAGTTTGAAGGAAATCCACGAATTATTCCAACTTCATAACCATGCATATTAACATTGCTCATCGAAATCAAAAACCGATAAAAAGAATGTGTACCGATTTGCATTTCCTTTGAATAAACTGTAAAAGGAGTAGCATTTTGTAAGGACTTCAAAGAGAAAAATTTGTTCTGGTAAGCATACACGGCAAACCTCTTCGTCAAAGCCATTAAGATTTATATCTGTTTCTTAGTGTAGTCTACATGTGAATCAAGTTTTATTGAATCATAAATAGATTGATAATAAACGTAAGATAACAGTAGTTTAATTTCCATTTTGTGTACGAACCTTGAAGTTTCTTTGTAATTTGTAATACAAAAGAGGTTCATATGGACACCTATGAATTATGTCTGTAATCTTTTATACCCGAAAAGTGAGGAAAATCGTCCAAAATGGCAAAGGGTTTCTTAGCCCGGTTTTTTTTCCATGCATGAGCAATAATGAATGTACATTTTTTGTAATGGTATCAGATTTTATTTTCGATTTCGATATGTCCAAATGTACAACTCATAAAGACAAAGAAATATGTGCAATGAAACAAATTTGAATGCTTGTACTGATGTATGCTGATTTTTCACACTAAAAATTAAATAATTTGGGAAAATGTTGTAATCTTTTACATAAAATTAATATTTGTTTCAGGTTTCTTTTGGGATTTAAGGTTATGATAGATTGATTGATTGATTGTATGCTGTTTTACGTCCCATTCGAGAATTTTTCACCCATATAGAGACGTCACCATGAACGGGTGAAGGGCTTCAAATTTTGACCTTTACACGGCACTTACTGCCATTGAGTAGTGAGGGATCTTTAAATATCGTGCCAACGCCTGCCGTGACACGGGGCCTCGGTTTATAAGGTCTCATCCGAAGGACCCGCAACTTTCACTTCAAAGTGCCGAGCGCATGGCGAAGGAACAGTTGCTACTCATTTTTCATCGACTTAGGTCAGTCACGGCCGAGATTCGAACTCACGACTTCCCGATCACGTAGCGAGCGCTCTACCGACTGAGCTACCGTGAGCGGTCATGATAGAAGTGTATTGAATATACATTCATTCGTTATCGTAGTAAAAAAACAAATCAATTTTTAACCATGCTATAATCTTAAGATAAATGTAACTTATAATATACTTTCCATCTATTGTTAAACTTACATATTGTAGCTTTTTACTTTAAAAAAAAAAAATCTGAAAATTTTTCTTCTATATAGTCTTTTGTTTGCAAAAAACCCCTACCCCCTCCCTCCCAGAATTAAGGATCTCAAATTCATTGATATTTAAATTAGGTCAGATTACGTCATTTAAAAGATCTTATATAATGCGAGCACAAGCACAGTTTATTGTAATTTAATACTACAAAAAAAAAATAACATACTAAAGACAAACAAAAGTATCTTAATTTTTTCTTCATATCAACTAAAATTTCTCTGTAAAATATAATGTTTAGTCACACATGCTACATGTACATTTCCATGCTGTCAACAATTGAGCCCCTGTCTCGTTCGACAAATTTAAATGTACCTACGCTCTTGGCTCAATGTTGATCATTGCACGGTCGCTTGTGTAAAAGTAAAGATGCACTTTGACGAACTTCTCGGTGTCCTCGGGGAATTTGGTCCCTACCAGAAATATGTGTATTTCCTTGTGTGCCTCCCTTCCATTATTGCCGCTTTTCATATGGTCAATTCTGTGTTTCTTCTGGGAATTCCAAAACACAGGTGAAACATTTCTGGTATTTGTTTACATTTTTCGCTTTCTCTTAAGGGATTAATTAGTGTTGATTTGACGTTGTTAATTTGATCAATATTATATGAAGACAATTACTGATTAAATGTATATTTTTTTTTTACTAATTTTCATATTTATTGAAGTTTTCCTCCCCGTATATCTCGGAGAAATAGATAAAATATAAAATTCTTGATATGAAATGATTCATTTGAAACACGGTATTTGCTCTTCAACCACAATCACTTTTTTCATCAAACGTCTCTCTGAGATGCATGGTTTAGAAAATTCGCATTGAAATAATGGATGATGATTTAATTTTAATTGAAAACTTTTCAAAAGAGAAAATCATTTGCTTAACTTGTGAACAAGGGGCTATTCACTTTAAATATTAATCATGCCTCATGGGAGCAAAAATTCAACCTGTGTTTATTGTATGTAACTTTTCAGTCGGAAAATCTTTTAAGAGAGACACCGATAGCCACTTTGTGATGATATATATCTGAATTTGTAATCGGTGGGCATCACATTAGACTTTTGATTTTTTATATGCAGTTCTAATCCCTTTTAGAATTGGATATAGAGCTAACTGTTGCAACGATTAAATGTCTTTAATGTGAATGCCACATGCATGTACAGAAGAATGAAAACAAACATGTCTTGCTCCAGGCAAGACTGTGAGAGGAGTGCTCATTGTTTTGCTCTAATAAATTCTAAGTTCAATGCATATCCTATTGCCAATTGCAAATTTTATCTATTGCACTACTTGCTCATGGTGTATTGTTCCACAGAAGAAATGATGCGTGTTTTATTTATCAAAAACTGATAAATGGGAATAAACTAAAAATTTTTTAAAAATAATGATGACTATGTTAAGAAACATTATCAGAACGCACTGATATCCATAAAATGTAGCGTTCTAATATCTGAATCTTAACCTATTGCAACTCTTTCATTACCGATTCGATAACATTGGAATTTGTAAAAATAATAATTTTGACATGTACATTTGACAAATACAGTTTCGATAAATTAAGATCACGACCCCCTTTTTCCATTAAAATAACTTTATTTTGAAAAGAAAATAGCTTTAACTTATCATAATTCTATATCAAATGATTTAGTGATGGCAAACACGGACATTTTGAAACAGGAGAAGGAATAAACTATTAAACTGGACTGCACACCTGCTTTTCATTTTGGATCTTTTCTTTGCAAAAGCTTAAATCGTCAGTTTCAGTATAAAATGAGAAAAATGGGTCAAATCTGGCCAATAATTCATTCCTGACAGTGGTAAACTGTCCTTTAGCTAAATACATATTTAATACATATTTATAAATATACATGTATGTTCGTAAATATGACAAAAGTGAACCAGTAAAAGAATATGGGATATAATGTTCTAAAAGTAATAATTCATAAGGCTCAGAGTTTGAAGATACGAAATACTGGGTGATGGAGCACTGTGGTTTTGAAATTAAATTTCCAAGATCAGAAGGTTGTGGCGTAAATCAAGATGACATTGAACCCTTCAGACAAGTATTTACTTAAGTTTACGTTTAGCTATACAGCACTTTACCTTTTAAAACTTGGAGATACTTAATTAGGAATGGGATAAAGTTACAAGATGAAATCTCGTAAGTATTCAAAAGAAAATACGATATTTGTTTGGCTCTTTAAATCGTGCATATTTTTCTTTTAAAAGAAACGAGCAGAAACTTTTAAATTATGTAAATATATGTATGTATAGTCCACATATAATACATCATTATTATCAAAACATGCATTCAGAATGAATCTTGAAAAGTACAGATCACAAAAGAATAAAAATATTCGTTTTACATACAGATATTTACAACCAAGGTGAAATCTGACTGAAATTATGTCATTTTTTTTTTAACAAATGTGATGTAGAATGAGAATAGAATCATATTCTTATTTATTGATCTGTGATCAAATCTTAGGCATCTGTTTTCAAATTAAAGTAGATGTATCGACAATTATTCCTCAAGCAAAGCATTTAAAAGTGCACAAAAAGGTGGTAAAATTAGAAATTAAAATTAAAATTTCACCTATTTATTTAAATGCCTTCTAGGTACATGACTTGATGATGATGATGATGTGTTAATTAACAGTACATTAATTAAGCCCTTCTCACACTCTTACAGATGCAAATTACCAAATTATCCGAATGATACTTACCTCAGCCAAGGCACAGCACATGACGATTTGATAAAGGCTTACATACCTACCGAGCTCAATGCTGACAATGATGTGGTGAACAAAAAATGCAAGATTTTCTCCATCCCTGTTTTAGACAATGTGACTACAGGCATCGAACAAAGTTGCAGCTCGTGGGTTTACGACAAAACAGTTTATGATAGCACGTTTGCGTCTGAGGTACGAATTTAACTTTACTAATTTTATATAACTTTTACTAAGCATATAATGCTCAATCTGCAATATAATAGATAACTGAAATTAGTTTTCAAATACAAGTAGTATACAAAACGCTATTTAATATAACTGGCTCACTAAAAGATGCCTATAGAGATTGAATAGTGACTTACTATCTGTAAAGAACACTTATGTTGGGTGCTTTACCTTAAAAACTTACTTTAAACAGAAGTTAAGTTTTTATAAGTAAAATCACTTATAGTGTTGTTCTTGTCGTAAGAGTGCATTTCTTTACTCTAGATTTGCTTTACAATAGCTTAACTGTAAAATAGATTTATTTTACGACAGCTTTACTTACAGTATAGCTTTGCTTAACAGTTGTTTAACTTCACAGTAGCTTAGAATAATAGCATTGTATTTCCAAGGCATGTTTATGTACACATTAACTCATTTGCAAATATTCACTTTCATGTACATTTCAACCATTTTCTACGTTAACTCGAGTATAATGATATGAAAAGGAAGATGTAATTTTCATAATTACTTTCTTTAAAGTGGTATACTTTTATAAAACGTACTTTATATAGAGTTTATATGGGGTGACATGCATGTACATATACTTCTAGTTCTGTATGTTTTATACGGTAGATCTTTCAATTACAGTTGTCTACTTACAGAATAGGTGGCTTTTAATAATATTGCTTAAAGTTGTGGTGACTTAATAAAGTTCTGTTTGCTTGACCTACTTGGGGTACTTGCTAAATTATTGCAACTTACTACACACAGGATATATGTATTTCTAATTCTCTTAAAGTAATACGGGCATATGATTACTTCATTATAAACGCTAGAATGTATTAATTTACATGTACTGAATATAAAGTTTATTTGTATAGTACATGTACATTTTTATTTAATAATTCATCTATGAAATAAGTTAATGAATCGATTTTATAATCGCTTTCTTGAAGTGAATAATGTGTAGTAGCATAAAAACTATACTGGTACGAAACTTCTTGTATAAACTTGCTTCTTTTATAAGACAATCGAATGAAAAACGTGTGGATGAAATATGGAGATAACTAACAGTATTCAAGCTCAAAGTCCATTGAAACAATACAAATCGGGAGCAGAGCAAACACGGACCTCCAAAAACAAGGGTGGGATCGGGTGCCAAGGAGGAGTGAGCATCCCCTGCCGACCGGTCACACCCGCCGTGTGCTCCTTGTCATGATCGGTAAATAACGGGAAAAAGTCCGTCGACAATTCAGTGTGTAAATAATGGCCTTACAATTAGTATGAAAAAGGTCAGTCAGCATACATGTATGACTTTATGAGAGAGTGTATTTGCTGACAAGGTCATTGTATCGACCATAGAACTTACGAAATGATGACTTCAAACGAGGCTGTTGATATTCTTGTTTCATCAACTTGTTTTTGTCAATAACTTGCCTCGTTTTAAAAATTGTTCATGCGTAGAGCATGCTCTTGCGAATCGAATCAACTGAGAGATATACACCCCATATGCAGGTGATAAGGGTATATTGCTGCATTTGTTTGGTTAATTTTACTGACTTTTTCTAGATATATTACTAATATTTTTAGCTTAAAGATTACATTTTCTATTCTGACTTACACTGATGATATTTTTCACAGTTTATCGTTGTAATTGAATGATACTTTTTATACAGCAAGATTTGATTTGTGACAAGCAACTATGGGCATCCAACGCCAAAATGGTTTTCTTTGCTGGTGTGTTTTTCGGAGCTTTGGGTCTAGGCGCACTTGCAGACAAGTACGTTATATTGTTCACTTCTGTTTTTTTAAATGTAAAAAATAAAATGAGCTCACCACGTAATATAAAAACCTACTTAGTATGCAGTATAAACGCTAAACGTGTTTAGCTTCTTCTTTCTTTTTTAATGATTCCCCAAGGAGTGATTTTTTTTAAAATTGTATTCACTTTCCTAATATTTACGAGGATTGGAAGAAAGAAGACACTGATTTTATCCATACTAGTGCTGCTGGCGTCCAGTCTAGCCGTGTCGTGGGCGGCTAACTTCTATCTCTTTTGTGTTTTACGATTCATCGTTGGATTTTCCTGCGCGGGGACTTTCATGTCAGCCTTTGTTTTAGGTGAGTTTTTTCTTAAATTATCTTATTCATTAGAATATGATTTCAAAAATAAGTTTATTCAATATACCAAGACAAAGGTATGTTTAGCCATTAAGAAAAGAAATTTTGATGGCAATTTCAGTCATAGTAGATGACAATACCATTCTTTATCCTCTCTCATCAATTTCAATTTGTTTTTCTGCAATACAGGCGTTGAGATCGTTGGTCCCTCAAAGCGGCTGTGGGCTGGGGTTGTCATCGAATACTTCTTCGCCATAGGACTGGTTATTCTATGTCTTATTGGCTATCTTATTAGGGACTGGAAGTACAATGAAATAGCAGTGTCTGTTCCCTCCGCACTTCTGTTGAGTTATTGGTGGTGAGTGGGCGTGTGTTTTGTCGAAATAAGTCATATACTTAATATTTAATTTTCGAAGTTGTATTGGTAAATGTATCGTACATGTAAACTAGTATATAGCCTGACTAGATGCATGCCGTAAATGTATCATCTGAAATCGTTGCACGAATGCTACCAGTTAATTTCAGACTCCACGATTAATTCCTTGTAAATACATGATTTGAAATATCAGCAAAGTATCGTTGCCATATAATAACCTTGTCCTATACTAGAACATCCCCAGAAAGAATTACTTCATATAAAGTTAAATTTTCCCCATTGGGGAATGTTACTATATAGTATTTATTACACATAGTAAACCTTCCTTTTGAATTCAAACAATGATCGGTTTGAAGTTTAGTGGGAGGGCTATATAGCATTTAATATACCTCGTAACAGATTCTTTCATATTCTTAATAAGGATACTAATTATTACATTACATTATTGATGAATCGCTAGTTATCATGTAAAATTCTGTGAAGATGTGATACTGTATATGGTATTATTTCGCCCCTTGTAATTTTTTCCCTTTCCTTGAAAACACTTTTGCTGTGTTTTAAATTCGCCCAAACACAGTTGTGTATATAAGATTTGTTGTTTACTTTGAATTTACCCCGTTTTAAATTCACCCTATTGCAACGAGGGCGAAAGGGGCGAAAAATTCCCTGTATACAGTATTCCTTCTAGGGTATGATAGAAAATCATCCATCGTATACCTATACATGTATGGAAAAACTTCATTGTTTTTTTTTCTTCTTTTCTTGACATTCTATCAAAGGTTATTGCCAGAATCTCCTCGATGGTTGATTAACCGTGGAAAATACGAGGAGGCTAAAGTCATTATTCGCAAAATAGCCAAACGAAATAAGGTAGAAGTTACAGATAAGCAACTGGATTCGCTGGAATGCGACGAAACAGCGACAGGCCAGCTATGGCACTTGTTTACGTCGAGGGTGCTGTTTGTCCGAACTATAATAATTTTCTTGAATTGGTAATTATCTAACTATTTGAAAAATCTCATTTTCATTTCTTATCGACTTTCAGTAAGAAAATGAACTTCAAATGAAATTTAAGCAGGACTGATAAGTACGCGAATTGCAATTGATGTACACATTGCATGTCCCATATCACTGACTCTTAATTCTTTTCCTCAGGTGTGTTGTAAGTATGGTATACTACGGACTGTCCCTAAATTCCGGGAACCTGGCTGGCGACTTTTATTTGAACTTTTTCCTGACAGGTCTGGTAGAATTCCCAGCTTATACTCTTTGTTTAGTGTTATTGGATCGTATTGGAAGAAAGAAACTGCATTGCGCGTGTATGGTGCTTGGAGGGCTTGCTTGTATTTCAACCATTTTTACAGTTTTATACATTGGGAAAAGTAAGTTTACCATCTTAATCTTTTGAAGTTACGGATATATTAGAATTTTATTGCAAACTGATTACTTTCACATTGCAGTGCTAGTGTATTGTAAAGTATACTTTAAAATGGTCATAAATTTGTTCAAATTTAAAAGAACAAATTTGAAGATAGGAAGGTAAGGTTTTAAATGGGTATAATTAAGGCCTCCTCGCAAGAGAACTTGCTATATTGCACTATATACAAATTACTTCATATGAATTGTAAAGTTTAACGAAGTAATCATGCTCAAAAGTCCAATAAACAATACAAATTGTGAGCAAAGCAAACACGGACCTCTTGAAACAGAGATGGGATAAGCGCCATGGAGGAGTGAGCATCCTCTGTGAACTGGTCACATCCGTGTCGCGATAGGGTAAACGGGGAACAACGTAGACAATTCACTGTGAAAATAATGGCCTAACAATTTGTATAAAAGATGTCAGTCAACTTTCGACCTAATGATATTGTATTTGCTAACATGCAATATCATTGTATCGATCACAGAATTTATCAGATGTTTAAATGACGATCGAGATTGCTGATGTCCTTAAATCATCAACCTATCTCTTAGTAGCCTATTTCGTTTTAGAAATTTCTTGGACTCAATAACCCCATATGCAGGTGATATTGAAATACTGCTACATAAATAAGGGAAGTTGATGAAATATAAAAGTTGAAGTTATCACGTTTATCATAATGTTTAATTGCTAGTTTACCATCAAAGTCTTTCCTTAGTAAAACACCCAAATATGAAACAAGATATGTCAGACCCCATTGTGTCTTTTATTTCGAGTTTAGTGGCCTATATCGAATCAACGTAAGAATGAAAATAAATATCCTTAATTGATAAAACGTCGTCGATATATATAAATGTCGAATTGAAAACAACGGCAATGACTTTTTCTCTCCATATAGAAGTTTTTGAATAAATTACGTTTCATAAAGAAAACAGATCTGTTAATAACAGGGCACAGTTAGTACCCAAGGGAATTCCAATAGATTGTTTGAAGACCAATTTTGCAAAGTAAATTATGTATATGATTTTTTTTGTTTTCCCGATCATAGCAAAGAGCACACGACGGGTGTGACCGATCGTCAAGGAATGCTTACTCCTCTATGGCACTTGCTCCCAGTTAATTCTCATGTTTTTAGAGGGCCATGTTTGCTTTGCTCCAAATATGTACTGTTTATATGGACTTTCGAGCTTGGTTACTGTTCGTTGTTTCTATATTTCATTCTAATACGCCAATTTACATCTGGATAGCTTGATATTTATCCAATTTCAGGCCATCAGATGTATACTACAGTGATTCTGGCGATGATTGGTAAGATTGGGGCCGCTGCAGCGTTTGCCGTCATTTACGTGTGGTCAGCGGAACTCTATCCCACCGTAGTCCGTAACGTCGCCATGGGCGCCAGCTCGTCCTGTGCGCGTATTGGAGGGATGGTGTCCCCCTATGTAGCAGATCTCGTAAGTCTTATTATCGATTACAGATGAGACATTAATGAAAGTGAAGACTATAACCTTTGCTATTTAACAAATCAAGTCCAAAAAGATAACGGAAAGATATACACATAGTTAACATTATCAAAATTTCCTATTTCAGTTGGAAAAATTTAACAATTATATCCCATCCTTATGCAAGATACGAGTACGTTTTGATAACGGAATGTGATAATTAGTCGTAAATATTTATATGAATCTATTGTATATATGAAAGGCGATGTTTATCGCCCAAAATTCAATTTTCTGGTCAAGATTCAAATAGATAGATGATGCAAAAACCGCGGTTCTTGGACAATGAAATATTATTTCCTCTTATTATATGAAGGTTATTTGTATTTAGAGTTTGATAGTTGATGGCCATTTCGGACAAGCACTTCCGTTAGTTGTGTTTGGAGGAGCTTCCATACTAGCTGGGCTGCTCTCTCTTATTTTACCGGAAACACTAGGCGCCAATCTACCAGAAACCATCCAAGATGGCAAAGATTTTCCTCCACCAAAGTATATATTCAATCATCCATATTACAGAAATTAAATCATGTGAAATCACTTATTTCTAGGGAGAGGGGAGGGTGATATGAAGAGACCTACGAATTCCCGTCCTCCAATGAAATGTAAACTTTCAAACATTTTTAAAAAAATCAACACTTCTTCATAAACGAAATTAAATCCCTACCAACCAATATTTTTTCTCTCAAACCAAGAAAATTGACTCCATGAAATAAGTGATTTTACAATATTTAAAAAAAAGATGTTACTGCCGCATATTGTCTAGTAAATTTTGTTTACATTGCCTTTCTTTTTTTCCAGGCAGGCCAAAAAATACGAGGAAAACGGGTCTTCATATACCTACAGGAACGAGTCTTTTATAGTGGATACGACGAAATTTTAAAATTTTCCTCGGAAATTGATCTTTCTCACTTTAGACTTTAAAATATAAATAAACTTTTCCATAATGATATATTTTCACCCTAGACTACGATTCATCCCTCTTTATTCAATAAATAAAACAATCTCAGGGTAAATTCTTTCAATTTTAAATGTCAAGTTTAACTTACAAATTCTTATATTTGTATGAACATATACTGTAATCGTCAAATATTTATGTTAATTTTGTTGTAAATATTAGGACATAAGTAAAAGTTATATTTTGTCGCTATAAGTTAAAATGAATTCCAGCATACGTGTATTTTTTTCTCATCGCTTTATGTAACCTTTATTCAAAATAATCAAATTATCTATTGTATTTCTTGTAACTGATATATATATGTTATGTATATCATTGTTTGTTTGTAATTAATAAAAGAAAAAAGAAGTGTTTTTAAGAATGAGAATGGATTAATGCATATCATCTATCACATATTTCTAGATTAGAAAACAATGCAAGAAATGGAACATTTATCAATGATGGTAATTTAAATATTTCTTTGGAATGTTTTAAGACTAAATTGAAATCGAATGTTTCACACATGAAGTTTTGTTTCAATCATATAATAAGAACATACATGAAGGACATATGCAGCACAGTTAAGGCTGCAATGAGGAGGCGGGGCCTAATTTTTACGGGAAATGCTTACTTTGACATCACACAAAAACACATGTTCTTCAAATTACCACAGAATGAAATGATACGCTATTTTAAACTGTCGGATAGCTCTAAACTACATCAATACTTACTACTGCATGTATTTTTGTTGTTGTTTTGTTGTTAAATCCCACACAGCAATATATAAACAATTCACTGATCGCAATGCATTTGTCAATGTGACGTCATATCGTAAAATTTGACGCAGTTTGTAGGCAGTGAGAGGCGGATCAAGTTATATTTTATACAATGAAAAATTATTTTGTAATTAAATAGAAAATAATCTGCAGATATATAAGAGGCCATTAACTTGGATGCGATGTCTATTTTATGATTTTATTCGTATACTTCTCGTACATTTCCTAGACAAGTGAAACTGCCGTACATTTGTATGCAGATTCATTGAAGGGTAATAGAAGGGTCGTAATAAATCGATATATTGCAAGGGCATACCCTCAATGAATGACGACAAGCTTTTACACATAAACTCAAGAGGTATGAAGATATTTGAAAAGTGCTGCGAACCTGATGAAATCTTCCAAATGAATTAATTATATCTACATTTAATGTACTTGACCAGCAAAATATTCAACATAGGGTCTAACAAATGTAATTTTAGCAATTATATAGTAGAATCTATATAGGTTCGCAGCACAAAGAGTGTTAAAAATAATTATAAATTAAACTTAGATTTTTAACTTGGTTATGCCCTTGCAGTATTGGAATTTATAGATGACCGCAATACTGCAGGTATATTTGCTAAAATCACGTGACTGCCACATTACGTGACAAATTACGTCTTCAACATGTAGTTTTCAGCTACATTACATTTGTCCGATAATAGTAAAGGTCTAAAAAGAATCGCCCATCCTTGTAAAGAATGTATTTTCTGTCTAGAAAATTCGCCGATATTTCCATTTGGCACCTTAACTCAGTTAACTGTACTGCGTATACCTGCATTTAAAAGAATCAAAATTTTCTATTATTCTAATAATTAAGATTTTTAAAATACTTTTCGTATGTATAGGTATTTAACTAATATCGCGAAATGACTCCCCAAGACGTCAAATCACAAGATTTTGAATTCGCCATTGGACTGATGATCTAGATTTTTTTACACGTATTTCAGCAACAAAAAAAATGAAGGAGAGCAATTTTTAATTGGCGAGTGGTGCTTTCCGCGAAAGTGTGCGATAATTTAGATAATGCAAACCAAATGAACAGACATTGAAAGTATAAAAAGTATATCTATGAACAAAGAGTTTTTATCGTTATTTTATAGAAAGTTCGGGTATTAAAAAAATACCTCCCTTATCTACTTTATCGCCCATGAAATGATAAAATAACTCCCTCCCGCATCTGTTGGGGAAAATTGGCCCGAGATCCAGAGAATTAAATTTACTGTATATCTACATGTAAGTACATACTTGTGCAAAATTCCCTGTCTCAGTGAAATACGTTTTCTAAGGTTGGTTAGGATTTTAAAATTTTGATGGCAAAAGACAACACCCCTCCCACTAAACACTTGCGACATATAACATTTTCTAGTTACATATTTTTCTTTGGACGAATTAGTGTAATTTCATTATAGTCCATAGATAGAAATCCCGGAATGGTGCCTTAATCCAGTACTTTGATCATTCCATCTAGTACTGGAGTAAGGCACCATTCCGGATTGATCAAAGTTTTCGACTGGGTTTTCTGTGAGAAACTGTGTTTTACAGTAAATTTAAGAAAACACCATTGGGCTTTGGTTTTTTAATTGGTTCTCTTAGTTCTCTTTTCTGTAAACACTACAGATGTGAATCCTCTTCAACAGTTTTCTCGAAAGAATAAACAATTCAGAATGGCAGTATCTGTCATGGCTTTATTCTTGTTTAACATTATAAGGTAATTACATAATAAAACAATGCTATCAAAACAGTGGACAATAATCAAGTATTATAGCAAGTGTCAATGAGTAAGCGCCGATCTGGCATTTGGCGCATACAGTTTGTAGAAACAAGGAGCCATACGGTGCTACCAACTCTGGAGGGTAAACAAAAGTTGACAGCGATGGCTTGTTGCAAAATTCTGTAGTGCGCCGGCATGGATTGCAGCCTGGAAGGGTCACTAAAGCCATGACGAGGGTCGATGTGGCACTGGAATCATAAAATATGTGTTTTCTGCAGAAACACAGAAGAAAACTACTACAACTTTTACTCTAAAGATTTATGCTTTAACATGCCTACTGAAAAACTATATGTATATACATGTATAAAACTTATCTGACTAGAGTGATGTATATGTATCTAAATGTGTTAAATGATAGGTGGGGATCTATGTAATGTTGATATAGCCTAATATCACAATTAAAATGGTGGGGTGGGTTGGTGTTCAAAATTGATGAAGCGGAAAGGATGTGCGCGCAAGCGCATTTTATGACCTGGGGCTATTTGGTTGAAGCCAGAAGAGTTATCGCGCTTAGGTAATTCTTCTTCGATAACTGGCACTCACTGCACATAGCAGTAAATGCAAAAATCTCGAAAGAATAAACAATTCAGAATGGCAGTATCTGTAATGGCTTTATTCTTGTTTAATATTATAAGGTAATTACATAATGAAACAATGCTACCAAAACAATGGACAATAATCAAGTATTATAGCAAGTGTCAATGAGTGACAGTCGATCATCAACCTGGCATTTGGCGTATACAGTTTGCAGAAACGAGGAGCAATATGGTGCTGACAACCCTGCAGGGTAAACAGAAGTTGCCGGCAATGGCTTGTCGCAAAAATTCTGCCAAGTGGATTGCTGTACGCGAATTTCTAGACAGCAATCCATCCGCCAATAAGTGGCGGACAATTTGGCAAACAAGACATCATCTAATGCAACACAATGATTAGCAAAACAATTCAATGCAATATAAAGGGTAACAACAATGTATAATTTGGCAAAACAATCCAATACAACAAACCTTGTAAATCATCAAGCATAAACCGAGGTGGAAAATGGGGGGTCGTTGTTAGAAAAAATGAGGAATACAATGCACATGTGTCTACTATCAACAAGCTAATTCAGAGAATTTGTGTCCCCCGCTTAGGCGAAAAAAAGAAGAGCTTGTGCAGTTCCGGGGGGGGGGGGGGGTCACACTGCCCCTCTGGATTTGTAGAATTATTAAATGTATACAAGTATATTGCAGCAAATTAAAAAAAATGCCAATGTGGATAAAAAAATTTGATTCCTTATTCTTTAATATGTGTATAGAAGATTCTTTTTAATATATAGAATATTTATCACACTGTAATAATGATTTTATGAGTTTGTACACGCCAGAGGTCATAACTTTTTCATTTCACATGTTGAATAGTATCATTTAGTAAATAAAGAGAGAGAGAGAGAGAGAGAGAGAGAGAGAGAGAGAGAGAGAGAGAGAGAGAGAGAACCGTCCGAGAATCAAACTTTTTGACTGGAAGTGAGGAACTTGGACAATGCAGTTTGGATTGTAGTTGTGAAAATAGAATTCCCAAGATCTGATAACGTACACAATCGAGGAATAATTTGGGCTGATCTATTTTAATATCAGGGTGACGTATAAGGGCCACATTTAACTTTTGAACAACAAAGCAGCCAATAGAATTATTTATTCTTTTCTAGATTTCTCTGCAGCTTCACTGGAAATCATGTAACGCCAGTATTTGCGAGGGAGTATATTTAACCATACTACGAGGGTGTTTGGTAATTTTTTATAAAGGGAGGCTAATAATGCCTTCATGGCTAGTTGTAGTTTTTTAAAGGGATGAAGGCCAATACTGTTACCACCACAGTGAACTATTAGTACTCGAGGCATAACATTATGCCGACTTATTAAACTGGAAATGTGTTGATCAAGTTGCTCCCACTTTAGTCCCCCAGATCCAGACTAGGTTACATCTATCTTTAAGTGCTCCAGAGACAAGTTTTGGACAATAGTTAAACGTATGTAGTAATCTTCAGCTCGTCTGATAATGAAAGATCCAACGATCCATACTTTGCACCAAGTTCCTGCAAACTTAGCTTACAGTTAGTAAGACTGACTATTTAATGGACTACAGTATTCGGGCGAACATAAGACTTGAAAGCGTTGGATTTCCATCTACCAACTGCTTTAATTTCTTGCTCTGGGGTGCCTTGCGTATACAATGAAGTTGCAGCCCCTATTAGAAATGAATGGGATTTGAATGTTAATATATCAAGCTTGAGGAATGATAGAGCTTTCTTTAGTACTTGATTGAATTGATAGTATGTCATTGGCGAGCCGTAAATATGGCATAAAAACTGAGATGTTTGAGTTTGTGATGGTCTATGGGTCATGTATGCTTGTAAGTTGTGAAATGGGACCTGATTTTACTTTGTGCTGTTAATTTGCATTGTAGTGCCCTTGCCATGCTGATCTGTTTTGGTTTTCCATACTTTTATGAACAACAAATTATCAATCGAAAAACTAAATATCAAGTAAAGTCCATAAAACTTTCACACAAAGGTT